TTTAAGAGAAACTGAAATTTTTAGAATTTTCGGTTTTTACGGTAATCGTTCGGATTAATTCCGAATGTGGTTCCGTAAATGTAGAATATTTCAAGATAATTATATTAGATCCTAAGAAGCAATATGTTCATTAAATTGAAGAAAAAATGTGAGTAAAGAATTTAAATTTTAGAATTTTCAGTTTTACGGTAAACGTTTGTTTTAAGTCCGAATTGAGTTCCGTAAATTGTATTATTCTCGGTTTATTAGCATGATCCAAGACCATATATGAGCATTACTTTTCAGTAAAAGAGTTTAAAAAATCATCCATTTTGATAGAAACTGCATAAGTATAAAAAAAAAAAGGATGATTTTTATTATTTTTATTATTTTGTTCCAAAGATTTTTATATGATGAATGGTGACATTTTTTCAATAATATATGGAATCAATTACATCACATTAAGCACGAAATTTTGGTCATCAATTGGTGAGAATGAGATGAGAAAATCACAACAAAGTTTTGCTAAGTCTTTAAGTTAGCATTTTTTTTCAACAATTGGTGAGAATTTTATTAAACTTGGTGGAATAAGTTTTATCTACCAAAAATCTCATTTATGGCTATAGATAGAGGCCATTTTTTAGGATTAATAATGTTTGGATAAAAATACAAGTTAATCATAAAATAGTTTATGATTAATTAAGTTTATAAGTTTAAATTGTTTATTTTGTTCATTTCTTCACTCCATTATGATGTCTTGCCAAATTGTGCCTATAAATAGAGGCCTAAAAATCAGAGTTCTCACACCAAAGAAAAGTACCAAAAGATATATATGAGTGTAAGAGAGATAAGTAATAGAAATTGTGAAGAAGTGAAGAATTTAGAAGTGAAGAATCAAGTTACGATTCTAGCAAGAAGGAGGTAATTTACTTATCTTAAAGTTTTATGCTTAATTTCATATTTTGATAATGAGTTTACATGTTTATAAGTAAGTATATCATGATTTAGAAGTTAAATTTATAATTGATTCTATGAATACAAAGAGTTAAAGTTGTTCAAGATCAATTATATGATATATGTGCTTGATTTGATGAGATATTGATAAAGATATGAATAAGCTGGAAAAGTATGATTTAAATGAATTATTCTTATGTAAAAGAGGAGTACATGAGAATAAGAATTAAGTGATTTGGCAAAGTATAACTTGAGTTATGAATTTTTTAAGTTGAACATGCAAGATGAATTTTATGTTCACTATGACTTTAAATTCTAATAACTTGATGTATATGCATGCTAAAATTATGAAATTTTTATGACATGTCTAATATGAGTTGAGATTATGACTGTTAAATTTCATGATTTGAAGATGAGAAATGAATGAGTTATGATAATTACAAGGCATATATGTAAAGATGAGTATATATGCAAGAATATTCATGATATGATCAAGTTATTAAAGTGAGATTATTATGATCAATTCTCATATAAGTGATGAGCAATTTGGCAAAGTTATAGTTTAATATGTTGAGTATATAATCTCATAAAGATTGTATTAAGTATGACATATTAATATCATGATTAAATGTTATGATTAAAAGTTGAAGTATGACTTGAGTTTATTTTCACTTTCAAGTTAATTAAGTGAAAATTTAATATAAGCCAATATTTAAAATTTGGGAGATATGATGTATGATGAGTTAAGTATTTGATTGAGTAAAAGATTAAGATGCGTTTATAAATCATGTTGATGATGTTGGAAAAAGTTAAGATGTTTGATGACTTAATATTTATTTGAGACATATTAAGCTTATTGAATATCTTTAAGATTCGGATAAGTAAGAGTTAAATCTTATTGAGTATACGAGCATAGTACTTAGTATATTTGTTTATATTTTTATGTAGCTTGCAGATATAGCTACCCAAGAGCAACACTTACATTTTTCAAAAGTTTTCAAAAGAAGAAAGGTGGGGACCCAGACTGGGTATTACATTGAGTATAATATTGATATCATGTTCGAGGTATGTATACAGTTTAAGTTTATACGCTTGGGATGAGGAGGCATTCAGTTGTCTCAAAGTATATCCTAAGTTCTGATGGAGGCCGCTTGAGTTGCCTTGAGAAATATCCATCAGATTGTGCACAAGTATCCGATCAGATATCGGCCAGATTCAGTTTAAGTTACTGGAACAGATTTTCAGTCTAGATATATACCAAAGATCATGATATTGTATTATTATTGTTGTTTACTTTAGTATGGGTGTTTTTCGGGGTACAAGAGGATCAGTACTCACCCCCATTGTGTTTTTCAGATAATAGGGTCAGGACGGAGGTGTGAGCTGAGCAGTGGTGGTGGTGGTCGTGCACTTATTTCAAGTGGACATTTATTAAGTATTTGATCTGTCTGTATAATAAACCACGTTTTTAAGTATTTCCGCTATGCACATTAAGTATTGAACTTGCATTTCAGATTTCAAGTTTTTACCATTTCGAGAAGTATGAATATGGTACAGTTAAAATGCATGTTTAAAGGAAATCTGTTTTCTTTATGTCTATTGAAGTATTAGACAAAAGTTAAAAGATAAATAGATTTTCAAGAAGATGAGTTTGAGTAGCATCCCGAGTTAGTCGCAAAAGATTTCGAAAGATTTATAAGTATTTTCGAAGTAAAAGTTGCGAAAAATTTACTCTGATGAGCGGGGTGTTACAGACGGTCCGCCAACGGTACGAGAACCGTGTAAATAATAAGACAATGAAATCGGGGGTAATTTGTTATTGTAACGACATAGGTAGTTAAATATAATAAGGAATTACGGAAAGTAAATCGACACAGATTTCACCGGCCCGTCAACGGGTGCGATGAGGAGATTTAGATCTCCGAGCCTGTTTTATTAATGGAAATGTTTATAAATGTGGCTCATAGCCGGAAAACAAGGATGACCTATCGACTTGTAATATTTCTGGTGAGAATATGGGGTAATAGCGATGTCTATTTTATGGTGATGATCATAAAGTCGATCTGGAATGTCCGTAACCTTTAGCAGAGGCCGAATGTTATAGCCAAAACTTCTAATGAGCCAGATACAAAGGTCGAATAGCTGTAACTTTTAGCAACGACCTCTACAAGTCCAGAGGATAGATCGTCAGCGAGGTCTAGAGGCTGGGATTATTGATCGGGCTGAGATGATTGATCGGTGTCGACGATGTCTAAAGGCTGAGAGGATTGATCAGCGGCGGCGTCTAAGGGTTGAACAAATCAATCGTCGGCGATCTTCAAGGGCCGAGATGGTCGATCGACTGTGATAGATAGTGGTTCGTTAGACTGATCAATCATGGTAACTACGGGATCAGGGAATCGACCGTCAGCCTGGTTTAGATCGATACTATGCATAGTACTCGACGATTGGGACATCGCCGAAGATGCCGTAAAAATAAAGAAGATGGAGACAAATGAAAGCGAAAAAGAAGAAAGACGGTTTGAAGGCTTAAGAAAACGTACCCATGGTCAAGGGAATCGATCTGAGCTGCTAGAAATAGAAGGGATGAGGGGACTTATGCTCTCGCCGACCAGATGTTTTCTTGCCAAGGGAACTGCCGTCGATCGAAAATTTAGGCGGAGGGAAAAGTCCAAAAATAAGTGGGGAGCATGCTTTTATAGTTGTTGTGCAAGCCCTAGAGAAAGAAAGACTAAGATCATGGACCGTTAGATCTGAGAGTAATAATGGCACAAAGGTTTATGGCGGGCCTGAGAATGCAAAGCGGCACATTGAGATTCGGAAAAGCTGTGACTGATGTTGTCAGAAGGATCACATCTATTAGGAAATAAATAATTCCAGTATGATATACAGTTGACAAGCCGCTAGAGTCAAGGATATTTATGACTTCACGATAAAGAATCCGTGTACTTATGAATAGGGGAAGTATTTGATAGGATATAGAGCTGCACATAGATCCCACATGACGAACCGGTTGAGAATGACCCATCTGTGTGGATCGAACCGGTCAGATCGATCATAGGCTTAGACCGATCCTGGCTATACGAAATGTACATTGACGCACAGTGAGAAGAACATCGACACTTTCCTTGTATAAGAAGACTGACATAATTGTTTACTAACCAAAAAGAATGTAATCCTAAGATATTCGTATGATGAGTAAATACCTATAGAGTCTAAATTAGACATTTAATACACAATAATTACATTACAGCGAGTTTATCCTCACCATCAGATCCTACGGCGCTCTTTTGCAGGTATTCGTTTAATTCCTAATCCAACGCAGTCCGGAGAGGAATGACTTTATTTTCGAATCCGGATATCATTCTAAGACCGGAGTTTGGACTTTATCAACTACTTAAACTCAATTTAGAGATGCAAAAAACTTATATTTTGCCACATATACAACTTAACATTATTTCATATTATGGTTTTTAGTTTTAGATTTCTTTTATAACTTTTCGACTTAGGAGATTGAAACTATAAATATGTACCGTGTACAAAATCTAATTTCATACTACGTTCAATATTAAAAGTAACTTCAAGTTTATTATTGAAAGGTAAAATAGAGTATCTAATTTTTGCATACCGATAATCTAACATTGTTAAGTACCCTATTTTTTGTTATATTATTGACGATGTCCCAAGTATTATTTATCATACATATCGTCCTCAGGCAACCCAATTGCCCTCCGGTACGGCTATTAGCACCGAAAATGAAAATACTTTGAAAAAATTCACCCCTTTTCTTTTTTAGCAAAACTGGAGAACAAAAGTTAAAACGGAAAATACTTGCACATAATATCTCGAGCAATCATCTCAATTTCCCAATCATTTTTAAGAACATCCTCTTTTGTTCTGGATTACTTTGACCTTCAATCTAATTATCCTCCATTTTTTAGCCCTAAATCCAATTTCTTCGTAAATCGATTGAAAAACGCCACTCAAAACCCTCGAGCTCCTAGATACCTTTGCCAATTCGGCGTTTGGAGGTACAACGTTAGAATTGTTTCACGATTTCTGAAAGGATGAGCGGACAGAAGAAGAGGAATTTTCAGATTGAAGCGTTTAAACACAAAGTGGTGGTTGATCCCAAGTATGCGGACAAGACTTGGAAGATTCTGGACCATGCGATTCATGAGATTTATAATCACAATGCTAGCGGTCTCAGCTTTGAAGAATTATACAGGTTTTCTTTTATTTGTTTGTTTGTTTTTTGTACCCTTTTTCCTTTCCTTTTGCCGATTCCTTGGAGCTTAAATTAAGTTCTCGGATGACTTTGAATGTTTATGGTGTTAGTTTTCTGGAGTTTTTAGTTGGGTTAATTTACTGAATGGCTTAATCGGGAATTATTTTATGTTCAATTGTTTCTAATTATTCTCAGTTAGGTGCTGATAACTTAGTTTGCTTTGCTAGCTTTGTTGATTGTAAGCTTTAGTACTGTGTGGATGTTTGGTGTGGAACTTCTTTTTTTGTGTGAGTCCACTTTTTCTACTGCTTAGCTGCTGTGTTCAAGATTAGTAGCTAAAATATGTTTCTGAGGTGGAGTTTCTTTTCTCATGGAAACTAACATTTTGTCGAAGTTGAGTTTCCTTGGCTTTTACGTACATGCATCTGAGGTTTGATCTACATCTTTGAAATCTCTTACAACTTTCCAGTTAAGGGTTTGTTTCAGGTAAAATAAATCACAGTGTTATTAAATTTTTGCAATGGCGGCACCATGGCGGTATGGCGTGGCTGAGATGCTGAGTTTTGCCTAACCGCCATTAAGAATTTGTAAATGATGATGCTTATGGTGGCGCCGTTGGTCGCTACGGCAGGATTCTGCTTCAGCTTGCCGCCATCCGCCATTGATAACACTGAAATGAATACCACATATATTTTTATTCTTTTGTATGTCTTATTTGTTTTTCACTTGGTATGGGATATGCTTTGGTATGACAAAGTTCTAGCTGTTTGAGATTTTGCCCTTTTCCTTCTGATAATGAATGTGGTGGCCTTTTCATAAATTTGAGTAGCATGTAGTTTTTTAGATTCTTTTAACCTCTTTTACTGTGCTATGGACACCAGTTTTATATTTTGAAAGATTGTTCGCAGCATTTGAGTGATTGCATTTATGACATGAAGGTCTTCGGAACAACAAGGATACTGGATTTGGTTGTGATTTGTGCTTTCAGCCGTTTTTCTTGTGGTTACCATGATTAAAGTATTTTGTGGTTGCCCCCAAGAGGAAATAGAGAGTGAAAGATGGAAACATGTTGAAAATAGTTGCTTAAAATGGAAAATACTGAGCTTCCAGATTTAACTAAAATGCTTATGTATTCATTTGAAGTATCACTGAGGTGCATAAAATGCTTTCTGTGCTTTTGAAGTTGAATAAGGCATCTTACCGTGTAAATTGTTAATGCTTACAACTCTGGAGAAATTTGTGCTTGCATTCAGATTTATATTTGAAAATTTTCACTATACCAGCTTGAGCTCGACCACGTACATAGTTTCTTCATGTTGTGGTGTCATGAGTTGATTTCATTTGCAGATTTTGGTACATGGTACAACTAAGATACCAGTACCACTAATGCTATCTGCTACTTTCTAATTGCTGTTGTACTAGAGAGATATCGTTCGAGTGCTGCATTTTATTTCACACTCCACCCAAATAGTTGTTCATGCTTGGGATGATTTGGTCCCCCTAGCAAATTACCCTTTCCTTTTTGCCTTTTCAAGTACACTGCCTTTCATTACCTGCTGTATTTTGGCAGTTTTCTCTACTGCATAGATTCATTACCTGTTTGTGTCTCCCTTTTTATTGATTCTTGGTGCAAACATTAGTTTTCTGATGTTATTTGTGAATCACAACATATCATCTCATGTCAAGATTGAGAATGTTAAAATACAGTAATTGCCTTTGCTCGTAATCACCAATCGTACCATGTTAACGATTCGACTTCCGGAGAGAAACTTTCCTTGAAAACTCAAGGTACGGTGATACGAGAAACCTAGAGAGTTATAACAAGAATCAATGCTGTATTGTAGGTTTCTAAGGCTTCAATATACGAAAATATTAATTAGGTCGTTATTTCTTCATCCAGTCTTAAAAATTGGAAACCTCTCAGTGAGTGGATACGGTTTTTCTGCCTTAGATATCTCGTGATGTGAATTACGTTTCAAATGAATCAGAAAGTATGAATAAACGATGCAAAGTTGGCCTTCTTTCTTTCTGTACTGGCCAATTGCACATGTGATGTGCCCACTACTGTGTCTTTCATCTCTAATCAGGATTTTTTTGTTTACTCTTTTCAAACATCCAGAAATGCCTACAATATGGTACTGCACAAATTTGGGGAGAAGCTCTACTCAGGACTCGTCTCGACCATGACCCTCCACCTCCAGACAATGTCCAAATCCATAGAATCTGCACAGGGCCCACTCTTCCTCGACGAGCTCAACTCGAAATGGAACGACCACAACAAAGCTCTCCAGATGATTCGCGACATCCTCATGTACATGGACCGAACCTTCATTCCCAGCACCCGCAAAACACCCGTCCACGAACTCGGGCTTAACCTCTGGAGGGACAACGTCGTCCACTCCCCCAAAATCCAGCCTCGACTCCTCGACACAATCCTCGACCTCATACACCGCGAGCGCTCGGGCGAGGTCATCAACCGAGGCCTCATGCGTAACATCGTGAAGATGCTAATGGACTTGGGGCCCACAGTCTACCAAGAAGATTTCGAGAGGCCATTCCTCGACATATCGGCCGACTTCTACCGAGCCGAATCCCAGGAGTTCATCGAGTGCAGCGACTGCGGAGAATATCTCAAGAAAGCCGAGAGGCGCCTCAACGAAGAAATCGACCGCGTTTTCCACTACTTGGACTCGAGGAGCGAGACCAAAATAACGAACGTGGTCGAGAAAGAAATGATCGCCAACCACATGCTCCGGCTCGTCCACATGGAAAACTCGGGCCTCGTGAAGATGCTCCTCGACGACAAAATCGATGACTTGGCCCGAATGTACAGTTTATTCCGCCGTGTCCCCGACGGCCTCTCCGCCATCCGCGACGTGATGACGTCACACATTCGAGAAACGGGCAAACAGCTCGTGAACGACCCCGAGAAGTCGAAGAACCCCGTGGATTTCGTCGAGACCCTCTTAAAGAAACGGGACAAGTACGACCGCGTCATAAACGACGCGTTCGGCAACGACAAGACGTTCCAGAACGCCCTCAGCTCGTCGTTCGAGTATTTCATCAACTTGAACCCGCGCTCGCCCGAGTACGTTTCGCTGTTCGTGGACGACAAGCTGCGAAAGGGGCTCAAGGGAGTGAAGGAGGAGGACATCGAGGTCGTCCTCGACAAGGTCATGATCCTTTTCAGGTATTTGCAGGAGAAGGACGTTTTCGAGAAGTACTACAAGCAGCATTTGGCCAAGCGGCTGCTCTCGGGCAAAACGGTGTCGGACGATGCCGAGAGGAGCTTGATAGTGAAGCTGAAGACCGAGTGCGGGTACCAGTTCACGTCCAAGCTTGAAGGGATGTTCACGGACATGAAGACTTCACAGGACACGATGCAGGACTTTTATGGGTCCCAGGGTGCTGAGCTGGCGAGCTACCCGACTTTGGTTGTTCAGGTGCTGACTACTGGATCGTGGCCGACTCAGACGAGCCAGACGTGCAACTTGCCGTCTGAGCTGTCGGCTTTATGCGAGAGGTTCAGATCTTACTATCTGGGAACTCACACGGGACGGAGGCTGACGTGGCAGACGAACATGGGGACGGCCGATCTTCGGGCAAGTTTTGGGAATGGGCAGAAGTATGAGTTGAATGTGTCGACTTACCAGATGTGTGTGTTGATGCTTTTTAACAATACTGACCGGTTTACGTACAGAGAGATTGAGCAGGCCACTGAGATACCTTCATCTGACCTGAAACGGTGTTTGCAGTCGTTGGCGTGTGTGAAAGGCAAAAACGTGCTGCGCAAGGAGCCCATGAGCAAGGATATAGGAGAGGAGGACGCGTTTTCTGTGAATGATAATTTTACGAGCAAGCTTCGGAAGGTGAAGATTGGGACTGTGGTGGCACAGAAGGAGTCGGAGCCTGAGAAGCAGGAGACGAGGCAGAGGGTGGAAGAGGATAGGAAGCCGCAGATTGAGGCTGCCATTGTTAGGATTATGAAGTCGAGGAGGGTTTTGGATCATAATAATATTATTGCGGAGGTCACTAAGCAGTTGCAGTCGAGGTTCTTGGCTAATCCTGGGGAGATCAAGAAACGGATCGAGTCGCTTATCGAGCGGGAGTTCTTGGAGAGGGATAATGGGGATAGAAGGTTGTACCGTTATCTCGCATGATGGGAATTTCGGTTTGTTTTCCCTTTTTTCTTCTTCTTCTTCTTTTCTTTTTCTTTTTTTTTCCAGGTTAGTTTTTGTTTTTCTTTTCCGTTCCCATGAATGGTTGGACTTGTTTCAGATATTTCCTTTGTTTTTGCAAACTGGAAGATATATTTGTTTCTAATCAAACTTTTTTTGCATTATTGGCTACAGTACTACGGCCCATCGCATTGAATTCCATATGATTTATGTAAGAAATATGCGGAGATGAGTTTTTGTTTAAGAATCTTGGTCGTCTTCAACGACCTTTCTATTTGGTTTGAAGATTCTTCTCTATTGAAAAATACGATATGATCATGCATGTGTGTGCACAATCCAGTTCTCCATCCTACCCAAGCATGGCATAATATGAAGGCTTGCTAATGTAACAGAAGATCCATGTATCATATATGATGGCTATGTGATAAAAAAGATCATGAAATTTAGACAGAGTATGACCTTTTGCTTTCTTCATTCTTTATTGTCGTGCATGTTCTCTCTCAGTGAATTCAACCCCTACCTCTCATTTCCTCTAAGCCTAGTTCACAGGCTTCATGCAACTCCATCCTAATTCGGCCAAAAGCAGTCCACCTTTGTGCTAAAACATCCCACAACACAATCTCAAGCCTCTACCTAAACTCCAACTCCGAGTTTGCCTTGCTTTGATGGCTGTTATGTGTGCATCCCCTCCGGGAGTTCTTTTAACAATGCTTACTGAATGTCCCCAACCATTCTTGTTCAGATCCGACCATGAATCTGCAGCTGGCCCAATTTATTCCTACCCTTGGCATCCTTCTCCATAAACTCAGGGCCGATGCTAACATAGCCACTAATCATGGATTTTCACACGTAGGAATCGCGTATGATAACATTAACTCCAGTGAAAGTGATCTTTACGGGCTTGTTGCACGTGTGAAGTCACTTTCACCTCAAGAACGTAATTCTTGTGTTAGAAAAAGCAATAAAGAACAGGAAGCTTGAATATTTACCACTACAAATAGGTTCTTTTTTTTTGTTAGGGTTCCTCTTTTATAGGTTTGCGAGCGATATATTACATTGAATGAGCGTGACTAGTAATTTTTATGTTGGAGTTACTCAGTGAAAATTTCTGCCAGAAGACCATGGAACGTGTCGTCACGTGCCTCTAGTGCACTTAGTATATTGGCCCGTCCGATTCTATAAATAATATTTCCCGTAGGTACTGTGACATGTTACAATCATAATCATATCAGTCGATTAATCAAAAAATAGCAAAATGTAATTGTGATTAAAGTAAAGCGTTGAGTTACATTTTGACATGAACGAAAAAACCCTCAATGCCCCGATTACAACAATGTCAACAGTCACGACAACTTTCCACCCCGGAGTAAATATGCCGTTCATCTCTAACACGGAATTTCCAACTTTAAATTCATCTCTGGCCCATAAACGCTCGAGAATCCGCAAGCGATAGGGGGATATTCTAGAGCACCAGCAGTACTTGAATTGTCTGCCAAAGATCGCACCAACTCCCGGTGTTCAGCCACAACGTTGGTCTTTTCGCGACATGATCAACAAGCATATAAACCATGTGGATATGATCTCTGGGGATGAAAAGGAAGAAGAGGAAAGTGAGGAGGTCGTTTCAGTGGACTTCTCACGCCCCGATGCTGGATATCAAAGTAACTCAATGCTTCTATGATCGAGTAAACAAAGAATGGCAAAATGTAATTGTGATTAAACCCTTTGATGCTTACAATGTCGTCCTTGTACAATCGCTTGACTAAAATGTGGCCTTTTATGACGGGGTGTAACATGATGGATTTGGAGAATGGTTTCTACCTTATTCATCTTTGCACTCATGATGATGTAGTTCGGGTTCTCACGGGAGGGCCCTACGTGGTAGGGGAAGGATACATGCACGTGCAACCATGGAACCTTGAATTTGATGCAACAAAGGAAGAGATATCGACTACCGTTGCTTGGATCCATCTATCAAGAATGCCGGCTCATTTATACCACAAAATGATCTTTCGTACGGTTGGGAGACTCATAGGAAAAGTAGTTAAAATTTTCCAACAGACGGCTGCACTAACTCGAGGAAAATATGCTAGGTTTGCGGTGCTCGTCAACCTTACAAAGACGTTGTGTGTTAGTTTCATGATCAATGGAAAAAGGCAACGAGTGGTCTACAAAAACATGCCTAATATTTGCTTCAATTGCGGTAAAATTGGCCATTCAAGCGGCGTGTGCCCTCACGGACCGCCGCCTAAGGAGTATCCTGGAAGCAATGAAAATCCATCGACAACCCGTGTTATGAATTCGGAGAGTGGTGAAGGATGCTCTGGGATGCAAAAGGAAATGGAGGACGGCGGCAACGAGCTGATGCACAGACCGTGGGTCCAGGTTCTGCAATGCTCCCTCCGGCCCTATTCTAGGCGCAATAAGGGGGATAAGGCTCAATCTAAAAAGATTTCGCAACCATCTTCAGAATCTCGATTCGATCTTTTGTCAAGGGAGGAAATGAAGGAGTTAAACCAAACCTTTAATTTTGAGGCGCAAATCTTGGAGACATCGAGGAAAGAGACTGAGCTTCCTAATTTGAATCGGGTTCATAAAAGAGATGATGACTGGCATTTAGTCGTAAAAAAAGGCAAAAATAAAGGAAAGAAACAAGCCGCACCCATATCTGGTGGAAACTCAAATGGGCCAAATGGATTGAACAAAAGACTAACTATGTGGGCAATAATGGTATGGCTATGAACGAGGCCCAAACAATCCTTTATAGACCAAGATCAAATGAGGTTTCTGAATGGACAGCGACGGGCCTACACCCCATGTTCAACCCGGACCACAACCAGATTTTAACTAAGTCGGAGCTGGGCTTGACCCGACTAAACATTAGGCCATTATTGTTGAGGACGATTTCCACACAATCTCCCCCTATTACAAACCCACAAGAACGCACCCTTGAAGATGAAGTTGATGAGAAGCAGATGATGGAAGACGTGCATGGTGGTAGCAACCAAGAGTTGTGGTCGGATGAACAATCAACGTGACGGCGTTCCGCAAAAGGATTGCATGCCGTGATTCAAGCAATGAGAGTAGACGATGTCGAACTTTCGAGTACAACATTGAGTTTAATCATGATCATTTTCTTTGCTCTTATGTAGTTTAACTATGAATATTCTTTCATGGAATGTCCAAGGTGCAGGCTCGCCGGAGTTTAAGGGAGTCTTCTCAACGTTAATTCATCAATATCAACCGGATATTGTTGCACTTTTTGAACTGAGAATTAGTGGGGAAATTTTGGACAAGTTTGTGAAATATAGTTGATATGGGATATTATATAGCTGAGGAATAGACCGGTTTGCATCATCGGTCGAGCAACCTCGAAGTGGAGAAAACCGGATTGGGAGAAGGATGATCGACCAAAAAGAAGGAGATCGAGCAGAATAGCAGAACTGGTCGAGGATCGACCAGAAGGGAGGAGATCGAGCAGAATAGCAGAACTGATCGAGGATCGACCAAAGGGGAGGAGATCGAGCACTCAACGGGTGAAGAGCAGTCTAGAGCGTGGCGTGAACGCGAGAAGGCGTGTGGATGACGTTGGAAGATCCCAACGGCCTGCGCAGAGGAATAATCTCCCTCAGCTTAGAGGGACACGTGGCGAGAATATATTGGTGCAGAGTGATAGTGGCGAAAGCCACCCCTGACATCTCTGACACACACACACTATGTGTGTACGGACGGGCAGTACGGGCAGGACAGCTCACCAAAGTCGGGCAGTTTTTAGGGCAGGTATCTCACTCTTATATATATGGGAGTGGGTCTTTTCTTGTGACTTACGATTTATCCATTCTTTACTTTGGAAAATTGAACAAACACATACTGACTTAAGCATTGGAGGCTCTTCACCGGAAAACCCCTCCGGTGTGAGAGTTCTGTGCAGGAACGCGGCGTTCTACCGGCGAGGAAGAAAGAGGCAACCTGATTTCAAGCTGGTCGGAGTGTTTTGCGTTACCAATAGTAAATTCGAGAACTCTTTTTGGGTTGAAGCTTGTGGTTTCTCGGGTGGAATTTGGCTTCTTTGGAGGGATAATATTAGGATTAAAATTCTATTATGTACCGAACAGTTAGCCTATGTCGGCGTGACGAAAGATAACGAGACGTGCTTAGTCTTCTTTATTTATGCCAGTCCTAATGCAACCATTCCGAGGAAGTTATGGGACGACTTGGGAAGAAGATTGACTAATTGATGGTGACTTTAACTGTTTTCTTCGGTGTTCCAAAAAAATGGAAAGATCCACGAATTTTTGTAATATTAGTCGGGATTTTGCTAATTAGATTTTTAATAATAGCAGGAGGTTGACACGGACAACTACCACTAAACTTGGTTTCGCGAAGAACCTCATGGCCAAGTTGCAAATAAACTAGATCGTTTTATTGCAAATGTAGCCTGGATGGAGATGTTTAATAATGGGTGAGTTCATCATCTTCCTCGAACTCATTCGGAACACTCGCCCTTGTTGTTGAGATGTGGAAGACAAAGATTTTCGTCGCAAGGCCCGAAACCGTTTAGGTTCCTTGCATGCGGTTACTCCATCCTGGTTTCTCGGACATGCTGAAAGATGCTTGGAAACCACCTGATTGTTATGTTGAGACGGTAACAAAATTTGCAATGGTGGCAAGAAAATGGAACTCTACGGTGTTTGGTAATATTTCCAGAGGAAAAAAAGACTCTTGGCTCGTATAAGGGGAATTCAGAGAAGCCGACATTATTATTTTTGTGAACGGCTAAATGTGTTGGAAAGAGAGCTAAGTAATGAACTGGAAGATGTGATCCTGCAATAAGAGTTGTTATTACTACAGAAATCATCCAGATAATGGGCTTACCTGGGGGTGAGAAACACCTCTTACTTTCACAGACAACTTAAATATTGTAGATGTTAGTGTTATATACTGAAAGCTTGGCTTTGCATATTATTACACATTTTTCCTTT